ATGGAAGAAATGATCTGTGTCTTCCTTTCCATCTTGTGCATTCATTTCCCTGGTGACTGAGTTTATTGCTACAGGAGGCTCAGTCTGTCCCTCCACAATTTTCATGGAGCAGGAAAAATCAGTTTGCACACAAGCAGATTTGAAGCCGCAGCAATGAGGAATCACAGTAATTGAACTATAGCTGAAACTTCAGCTTGTTTACCTAATCATTAATTTTATTCAAAATGCATACATTTTCTTTTTGTTACTTCCACTCTTAAATTTCTTTAGAAGCTCTTTAGCTGCAAGGTGGGCCTTTAGCAGCCTGTGAAGGTAATCAGGGTTATTCTTAGTTTGGGCTGCCCTTGTAGCCTGGGAGGCTGCTGAAGGTTGGTGTCAGCTGGTTTACAGCACGGCTCCCCCAGAGTAGTAGTCTCTCAGCAGATTACACGCTGAGTGCCCATCCCTGAGTAGCTAGCCTAAAACGTGACTTTCTCTGAGAAATGAGCGAATGAAATACTTTCGAAGATGGTGATCCATTCTAGCAGCTTGGGATTGGGATTTTGGATTCCTCAATTTGAGTTTAAATGAAGATTCACCTACCCCTATATAAAGAGCCTGCTACTCCCCGTTCCTGTCTGACCTCTGTGGGCGAGGGGCAGTCACGGGAGGAGATGCCATGCAAGTGCTATGGTGGTGTTGGCTGCCGAACAACTGTTCCCTGTCTCCCCCGAAGTAAAAAGCCCACAGTGTGTATGTTTTGGAGGATTTGTGCTATCAAGTTCTTTTCCTGGAAGCATTTTAGCTGTGTGTTTGCTGTTCCACTGGTTGCTTGTGGGAGCAGCAACTCTATGAAGAAAAATGATTTCTCTATGGAGTCCTGTGCCTATAGAGCTGGCTCTTCCACGCCAGAAGTGCTGCTTAGCAAAATATTTTTGGGTTCATAGAACCAACTTAGTTTTCTTTGCACGTATGCCACACTCCTACTAATTAACTATTATGCAAGGCAAATTGTCTTCAGGAACCTGTACAACTTCATAGTCTTTATATTATGCTCAACCGGCACATCTTCAGTCGCATTACTTTCATCAGATTTGCACTTTCATTGAAACGTGATAAACAATTCTGCTATACTCAAAGTAAAATTCAGCTTTTCCACAGCTGTATTCGCTTCGCAGAGGAAGAAATATTGCTGAGTAAAATGACAGCATATGTAGGTAGTCGGTTTTCAGAGGGGAGCCTCATGCAACATAGCACTAAACCCAAAAAAATTACTACTAGAAATGAGCAGCAAAATAAGTATACATGCATTCATGAGATATGGTCATTTTTTTCCTCTGAGGATCAGGCAGATGAATTTTTGGTTGAATTCTTCTAGTTTTAAATACATTCAATGACACCATCTTTATCCTTAAGAAACCTAGGCATCGTAGGTGCTACCGCATACAGTTAGGTACTAGAGCGAAGGATCATTACACAAATACTTGGACTTTTTTTTTTAGAATCTGTTTATTTTTTTGTGCAATCCTATCCATTAGGCTTTTTAGAGAGATATATATTTTACAGATTCCTCTTTTAATTTCATTCACTTACTTAAAAGATTGTCTTTGGACACTGAGAAATGAGCAATGCAAATGTTTGCTATTGACAGTTGTGTTTTGATATTTAAAGATTTCTTAAACAGTCCAGCATGTTTGTGGTATGGTTCCATGCCCATGTAGAAAACAAACCCTCAGCCCTCCTTCTTTCTCTCCAAGGCTGAATAAAGGCTGCTGAGATTGCTGTGCCAGCTCTGGGCGGAAGGCAAGGGTGGAGGCTTGGAGGAGCTGATGTCATGTGCTGGGGTCCACAGCTGGGGGAAAAGCGCTCTCCCTGGATAATAATTATGTAAAAAGAGGGCAATGAAGCATGTATTCTATAAGGGAGCTGAAACACTGAGACTGACGTATCTGTGAGCATGATGCATCCACCTGTCTTTGCTTTAAGTGAGGCAGCTTGGGTGCCAGTAATTGGCTGTGGACACAGAGCAACTGCAGTGTACTTGGGTGCTCAGTCAAGCCTGTATTATTTTCTGTGAGCACAGGACAGTCACCAGGAATTGAGTCATCTAGCTTGAAGTTAGATTGGCAAGTCTATTCCATACCGAAGGCATAAATGAATAGTATGAACGTATGCTACCTCAAATTTTTTTCTTTGGTTGATTCCTAGGGTGTGCGGCTAGGTTCTGCTTCTTACACAGGACAGATGCAATTATAAGCAAGCCAAAATATCTGAAGAATTCATGTGTAAAATATTTAAGTAAGTAGAGGAAAGTTTTTATTCTTCTTTATCAAACTTAAAATAAAAGCAATGAAAATTTAAACATTTTAGGATTCCAAAACAATGCTTCATATCCATTCATTTGCCAGGCCTATGAATCCAAATACAAACTGTTTACTATTTCAACAGCTTTTCCTTTTCCTAACTGGGATTTACCGAACCTTAATTTGCAAAAGTTGTGGGGTTTTCTTAATAAAGAATTTCTACTTATTAATTTGGCTGCCAAATGAGATTTCTCTAATTTCTGTAATTTCTGGAAATTTCATTCTGGTATCAATAGTAAGCGTCATATTTGCCCTTCCTTGGGAGAAAAAAAGAATATAGATGCACTGAACTATAATCCGTTCTACAGCCTATTCAAGCCATTACTTATATACTGTACTGCAAAGCATCTGAAAACAGAATGAGTTATTTCAGCAAATCATCTATTTATCAGACATTTCTATTAACTGCAAGTGTGTAGTGAGAAGGTACACTAGTGGTTTAATATATCATCAAGATAGACAATGTTTGAATGTACACGTTAATCTACGTTTTTAGGAATTACAAATAAGACAACTATGTGCACAGTACTTTAAAATGCAGTGAACGTCTCCTCTAGTTGCATTGACAGTACCAGTTCCTTACAGAGCTTAATCTGGTTAAAAGCTCTATTCACAGTGTAATAGACGTGACACTACGTGTACAACATTGACAGCAGAGATCATTAAGGCTCTGTTCTGATGATTGTTTATTTCTCTGTGCATACCTCCCCTCCACTACCCTCTTCTCCCAGTCCCTTCCCCCCCAACACACCCGATTTTTTTCATACAGAATGAAAAGCTCACTGGCTCCAGAGTATTCAGGAAGAAAAGACAAATGATTTAAACCTGAAAGTAACGAAATGTGTAATGAAATGTAGATTCATAGTAAGAGCAATACCTGGTACTTATAAAGCTGTTTTCATATTTTTAATTTTTTTTTTTGGTATGGCAGAAGAAACCAGTATCCACATCCCATGGTGCTAAACACTCTACAACAGGTAGCACACAAAGAAAAGAGTCCAGACTGCAGATCATACAGTCAGATTGGGTCTCAGCAGTCTTTGTGAATTCGAGGAAGAACGATCATCTCTATTTTTGAGATACAGAAGGTGAGGTACAGAAAACGTAAATGTCTTGCTCAGAAACACACAGTGAACCAGTGGTAGACTTTGGGTCTGTTTATTCCCCAGCCACCAATTTATTCATTGCCCCATTCTGTCCTCTTAAACAACTAAGAGATCTTCTGAGATACACAACGTGGGCCTAATATCACAGGGGAATCGGTGCCAAATGCACACAGCCTGATCCTGCACTGCCTTTTGGCATCTGTAGTCACTTACATTTATGTAAAGAGGGCCTAAAATGCCCTCATATCAAAATTGATTTGGTGTAAACAACTAATATATGTAGTTTAACAGAGAATCAGGCTCACAGCAATTACTTTGTGGCAAGCTGAGACTAGAATTAACTAACTAGTTGTTTTAATTGCTAATGAATTAAGGCTGATTCCTGTTTATATTAAGGCCTCTGTATCCTTCTATGACAGTGTAACTGTGCCTCAGTGCAAGTGAGACTCAGGCTATTGAAAAAATTAACCTTTCCATTTCCTTTGAAGTCAATAATTTTAGTGGCCCTAAATAAATAAAATAACTGGAAACAACCAACCTGTCTCTATACTATGGAATATTTACAAAAGGATTGTAAAAGGACCTAAAAGTAACCTGAGGGAAAAACAATTATATGTTTGTTGAAGAAAAAAGTTAGATTAGATAGACTTGTTGCCTGGTGTTGAAAATGGAGAATTTTAACAAAATAACACACCTTTATATAAAGATAACTGGCTTGATGTTCGGTAGTATGCCCAAATAAATTGTAGATGCTTATCAACTCTGGAGATCAAGTCATCTTGTTGTACTACTACGATAAAATAGAAGCAGACTTATTTGGTATTTAAGTGCTAGACATATAGGGCATAGTTTGCGTAAAGCTAGTGTGTGTTATATTCAGAGGAGCAGGAAGATGACCTCAAGCTCAGTAAAATGCTACATGATCACAGATTTCTCCTATTATTATTGTTATTAAAAGCTAGTATGTGTTGCTTTCTTAGAACAGGGGTACTCCAACTTTGCTCTCTGTAGCCAAGCATTATTTTAGAAATACTCTCCTCTCCAAACACTCTATTCGTAACAGTTTTGGTTTTAAAACCTTCATTTTTTAGACAACAGTTTAACATTTTCTGGCTGAGAATAAAACAATCCTTGCTCTATTCAAACTTAAGGCCTGGGTCCCCATGGGTTGCAGCACTTTTTATTTTTACTTCTAGTTAGAAGTAGATTTATTTTTTAAAGCTAATATGGAATTTGTTTGTGTAAATTAACATAATTCCCTAGGCATCAGTGTGGCTATGATAATTACCCAGCTGAGGATCCGGCCTCCAAAATGTAACTCCAGTGACTGGGAAATTTGTTTTGTATACAAGTCAAGTAACAGCTGGATCGTATGTGATGTTACATTTAGTTTCATTGGCAATTCAGAAAATATTTAATAATAAATTTCATTGCTTCTATTCCCCATTTTTGTATACAAATAAATCATCTTTTCTAAAACATTCTTTTGCTTTAGTAAGGCTTGTATTCATAGTCATATCAAAAGTGTTTGCTATTGGAGCAACCTTTCAGCTTGCTTTCTTTAGGGTTATATTTATTATGAAATTCTACAGCATTCTAAACTTTAACGGCCATTAGCAACCCTGCACTTGAGTGAAGAATCACGCTAAAAAAGTACAAGGTATAATATTTTCTTGTCCAAAACTAAGGCAGGATGAACAAAAGTAATGAGCTCATCTGATCCTCACCTAGCAAGCCTTGATTTTAAACAGTATTCAAAATACAAAGCCCAAGAGAGGATGTTGTCAGAATGATTATTGCGCTTTCTCAGTGTCTTGCTACAGGATTCGTTCTTCCTTTAGCAATATATAATTTCTTTTCCTGAAGACCACACAAAGTTATTGTACTCTGAAAAGAAAAAAAGCACTTAAAGTTTTATGAAGTTATGACCTAGACAGAAGGATACAAAAACAAATTACCGTTCTATGATTCAGTTATGTCATGATCTAATATTGTTTCAAAATTATTATTCTGTTATTTAGGTTGGCATCATCTTCTGAACACCCGACGTGCTCTTTGGCATGCTACAAATTCAGCAGATGCACTGTCCTCTGGGCTTTACGGCTTCTTCTGATGAATGTACAACATTTGGAACAAAGCCGCTCTTGACACCTTCCCATCCATCTTGTATTGAGATTTCTCCTTTTTTTACAAGTTCATAGATGTCTCGTGTAAGAATTGTAAAGGACTCTTCAACATTCGTGGCATCTTTTGCTGAAGTTTCTATATATTTCATACCACAGTCAGATGACAGTTTTTCAGCTTCTTCTCTTGTAACCTCACGCTGTGACACTAAGTCACATTTATGTCCTACTAATAGGAATACAATCTGAAAGGGCTGCACATGCATTTTTGCTTCTTCTAGCCAGTCTTTCACATGTTCAAAGGATCGTCGATTTGTGATGTCAAACACTAGTAAGCCACCCACAGAATTGCGATAATAAGAGCGTGTTATTGATCTGTGAAGGAAAAAAAGAAAAAGGAAAATTAAAATACATTTTTGCTTTATTCATAAATAGATTACTTTTCCATGTGGCAATGTTTTTTTATCTACTGTAAGTTTTATGAAATATCTTTGCTTTTTTGAAACTAATTGGAATTTATTAATTTACCTTCTACACACAACAATGTTCCTTTTTCATTTTTTTCTTACATTCAAAACTCACTTTCTAAACATTCTTAAAGCCAACATCTCTAGTGCAAATTTTGAATCCTGAATTATTCTGCAAAGCACTCCTTATTAGCAAACTGTGGCACATGTTCACAGAATAAAATATATATATTTATTTGTCAAATACTTGTTGGTGTTAAAGTCTGAGTCCTTCAGTTTTATACAAACATGCACTTCGCTTTGTTCTAATCAGTTAGTTCAAACTGAAATATGCAGGCAGATGTCAAGAAACCTGGCGCCTAAGCTTGCCAATGTACAAGCGTATCCTTTTGTATTCCTTGCAGAAAAATTCTTTGATAGAAAAATTTGTACAGATAATCATAATTGGTTTTGCTTGCAGAAGTCAACAGGTAACAGACTAAGAAAGGAAACTCCCTAACCAAAACTGACCAAAAGTAACTGCGTGGGGCAAACACACACTTGTAACAGCATCGGCAAGGAACGCTTTTACCTCCAGCACCTCTCTCACACAGAAGTTCAAAAGCTCTTTGTAATTGCATTTACTCTTTTTTGGCATGAGACTTCCAGGACCGGCAACAGATATTTTCTACTTTTGAGCCCTCTACATTCCAGAGCATTCACTAGAAGGAATTTTGGAAGAAGGAAACCCTTCCTCTGGTTGAAAAGATTTTTAATATGCTCTAGAAGAAGAAAAAATGTTTGTTAGAATGTAGAGAGAGAGAGAGAGAAAGATACAGGGGCTAAAAAACGATTGTAAGTCTCTAATCATGAGCAATAGGGGAGGATGGAGAAGGTGAGAAGAGACATTTTAAAGGAAGTGACAGCCTACCAAGGAGTGAACGCAAGCACTTGTTACTAGCATAAATATATAGCTAGTGTATATGTAAGTATTCTCCAACTGAAAGGAGATGCACCATCTCTATTAACAGTCATTATTTGAAATGATAATTTAGCCAAGAATTAATTCAATTTTATCTTATGATTATGAGGAGGATGCAGCCTCAAAACTTTTGGAATCAGGATGAACTGTACACAGTAATGTATCTTTCCATAACAGTAGTTCCCTTTGATTTTCAGTTCATTGCATTTCATATAGTGTTTTATAACAATTTGAACTTAGACGTATAATTAGCAGCAGTAGTCATATTACAGATAGGTAAGTGCAGAGCTAGATAAGGCTTAGGTTTCTTGGCATATCTAAATTAATTTAGCCACAGCAAAGAGCATTTGAAATGGTTTTATTTAGATAACAGGGAGGCATTGTTTGACCTAATGTTTAGAAAGATCTTTTCTACGTGCCCAGCAATAGAGTCCATGGAGTGTCTCTCTGAACAGTTTGAATGTGAAGACAACAGGATCTTACCCTCAGATTAATTCAAATAGCCTGGATATGAAAAATGACACATGGTTTTGCAAAATTATTTAAGACCGTAAATGAGGGGTGTCACATTTTGTGAAGTATTAAATAAAGGTGCCATAAAGATCTGTTTCAGGTTTTCTCAAGCATTTTTTTTGCTGTAGAGCAGTTGTAAACACAAAAGAGTACATTAAAATAATTCAAGTGGTTCTAGAAAGAGTGAAAGTGGATGACAAAAATGGGATTCAATTTGGAGAAGTGGAAGCTAATATGACCTATTTGCATTAAAAAAAATCTTGAAAACAGTTATGCCAAAGAAATGCATTAGCCAGGGAAGAAAGTAGGTTAGTATTGGAAGTGCAGTCATTTACCAAGGATTTCTATATAGAACAATGTTATATCATGTATCTATGAACTGGAGTACTGAAAAACAGCCCTCCATGTGTTATTGGGTGCTTACACACAGCAGTCAGTACCCTCATCTGTTGTAACTCACTTCTGCTGAGATATGCTAATTTACACTAGCTGATGAGCTAAGCCATTATATTTAATTATGTGTATGTATTGCCTGTAACGGAGATGATTAAAAAGCATCTGTAACTTTGGGCTGTACATCAGAAAAACTGGGTGAATATATGGGAGAGACAGCAGTCGTTTTTCCTGTATTTTTGGTATTATAATTTGAAATTAGTTTTCTCATTACCAAAAAAAGGTTGATGTACTAGAGAGGCTTTAGAAAACAGTAACAAAAGGAAAAAAGTAACACAAAGAGTTTTAAAGATACATATGACACATGATATCATGTTACGTGATTGTCTAACATCTGAGAAAAGGATGATGTTTGTTAAAATACGGTCCACAAATATTTGAATAGTTTTACTATTAAGGTGAGTTATTATTTGCAGTTATATTTTAAAACAAAGTATTCCTGACAAATAAGACAAAATTTTGAAGCAAAAAGTTTAGGCCATCAACTGGGAAAAATGTCTGGGCACGTCAATGTGGTGGGTTGTATTGGGTTTGCGTGGCCAGGTTTTGGTAGCGGGGGGCTACAGGGGTGGCTTCTGTGAGAAGCTGCCAGAAGCTTCCCCCATGTCCGACAGAGCCAATGCCAGCCGGCTCCAAGACAGCCCCGCTGCTGGCCAAGGCCGAGCCCATCAGCGACGGGGTTAGCACCTCTGGGATAACGTATTTAAGAAGGGGGAAAAACCTGCTGCACGACAGCAGCTGGAGAGAGAAGTGAGAGTATGTGAGAGGAACAACTCTGCAGACACCAAGGTCAGTGAAGAAGGAGGGGGCAGGAGGTGCTCCAGATGCCAGAGCAGACATTCCCCTGCAGCCCATGGTGAAGACCATGGTGAGGCAGGCTGTTCCCCTGCAGCCCATGGAGGTTAACGGTGGAGCAGATATCCACCTGCAGCCCATGGAGGACCCCACCCTGGAGCAGGTGGATGCCCAAAGGAGGCTGTGACCCCGTGGGAAGCCTGTGCTGGAGCAGGCTCCTGGCAGGACCTTTGGCCCCGTGGAGAGAGGATCCCACGCTGGACCAGGTTTGCTGGCAGACTTGTGACCCCGTGGGGGGGTCTCACACTGGAGCAGTCTGT